CATGAAGAAGGGCAGAACATTAACATAAACCTATACTGTAATGTGTGCCTTACTGTAATCCATGGTTGTTTCCCTTCTTTTTTCTGCTCTTCCTTTGAAATCCTCATGTCTTCTCATGCTTGGGGAAAACTTCCCTTTTCAACTCAGGGCCTCTTCCTGTAGTGCTGTCTCAGGTTTCAAGCCTATACAAATGTATACACAGACACCGTGTATCCATTCCTGAGACAAGGCAGTATGCTGCAATACAGAAGTTCTGCAGAGCATGAGAACAGATACAGATTTAAAAGGAAGAGCAGCAAAGAGAAGGGAAACAACCATGGATTACAGTAAGGCACACATTACAGTATTGTTTTATGTTAAAAAATCTGAGGGTTTAATGTCACTTTAAGGAAAATAACTATATCAATTCTCACTTCCCATTATTATGAATATTATCTGTGGCTATGCACTGTCATATTTGTATGCCATTATTGTGACAGCACACTCCACACTGTTCCAGTGGTGTGACACTGATAACATCAAAATGCTACTGCATGCTGCTTTTGTAGCCTACTCCTTAGGAAACCATTTGTTCCATCGCTTTAGATTAATTGCTACCTCTAGTGATTACCTAATGATTTCAGTAGGATGACTGATCAACTCAAAATCTCCTGTGTCATTCTAGTCTATTGAGGAGGCAGTCAGCAATTAGTTAAATCATTTCATATTAAGACTTTGAAATCCCCCTGTGGATATACTCAAGGGCCATGCCTAACAACTTTGTAGCAGAGATTTATAGCTTTTCTATATGGTTGCCGCTGTTCTTTTGGCATAGGGCTTGAGTTTGGACTGATGGAGGGCTGGACCTGGACATTGTTTGCTCAAAGCTGGCCTAAATGGTAACCTTATTAGTTGGTTCACCCAGCGCCACAATGAACTCCCCACAATGCTTTGCATTGCACCATGAACTGTGGTCAGAAGGAATAGTCTGGCCATTAATGTGATTTTAACAAGCCAGCCCTCTCACTATAAAAGTCAGCTCTCCCATCAGCCTTTTATCAGTGTGTTTTGGAGTTAGACTTCATTCACACTTACCACTTGTGTTTTTATGCAGAGATTTGTCTGCAAAATCTGTCAGGCTAGATGCTTTGTTTATGCTTCTAGATGCTTAAAATAATGCACATTTACATGTATATGTGTTTAGATGCATCTGTCTGTTGTTCATTGAAAAAGTCCATTGACGTAGCCAATGAAATTTCCGCAAATAAACATCTTTCATTTACATGCGGTTACAGCTAAAGTGATTGCAGAGAGACAGTTAGTGTTACTGTACTGTAGAGTGCTAGAGGGCTATATAGAGTGGTGTATATTACCACAGTGATCTTCAATTTTCCCTGTGGTGGGTTGAGAGAGTGGAGTGTACCTCCCCCCCATATTGATGCTCTATGGAAACAGTACACTATTACTGTAAATTGCATAGTGGTGTGCATCACCCAACAGTCTTTTTTTTTTTTGCAGGACTACTTTTTTTTGTGTGTCAGCTTATGTTGTTGTAAAGCTGCTGTTCCCGGCATTTTATTTTATTTTTTCACATTTCTTTCACGTTTATCTTTTATCTTTATGATATATCTGATCTGCGCTTATGGATATATCGGGTGAACCAAATAAATAAATCAATGGGAATATTTTGTATTCACTTTTATGTATCGCTTGGATTGAATTTATAATGTTATATATTTTTTTACGTTTGGATTGATTTTTTATATATTTTTTATGTGTGAAACATTTTTCAATGTTTGAATTTATTCTCATAGAAATTTTATACACCTTTTGCACCTTTGAGATGTTGATATTATTTTGATTGTTATATGTGAGGCATGATTGTTCTATAATAGCAAGTAATTTAATTTGTTTTATACACATTCGCACTTCTTTTGAGATTTTTGATGTATATGGTAATGATGTTAGACTGAGTCGATTCACTATATGGTGACCTGGAGCGCTGCACATTCAATTACATATCTTTTATCTTTATTTGTTTATTTTGTATTTTATCTTTTTTTAATCTTACCACGTATAGGTTTGGTGTTTGAGGTTTTATTTTTATTATTTTTTTTTTGGTCTGTACGAGTGTAAACTTGTTGGTGACACAGGAAAAGTTGCACTTTGTTAGCAACACAGCACTGCATTCTATTGCGGTCCTGTTTATTGCACAAAATCAGCACATTGTTTAGTGCACCAATGCATCACATCATCTATCCACCTATCGCCATAGCTGGTAATATGATTAGGCAATCTTCTGTTACCATCATGTCTGTGTCACCAGACCCACCAGTCCACTCAAGTAACCAAGAGGCTAAACACTGCTCAAAAGCAAAATGCTGCCATGCTATTTTTCAGCTGGCATGCCAGGGGAATGGGCCAATTATTCTGTCAGCTTTGTGGGGGATAAGCCCAGAACAGGCCAACCCCATGTCATCTTGTTTGGGCGGAGGGAGTTGTGTGTGACAATTGCATCATCTTGTTGTCCACCCTTAAGCCCCGTTCACATTGAGCGACTTATCGCACGGTAATTCCCGCGCGATATCGCTCTCCAATGCATTGCAATGGGGCAAAGGGTCCTGCTGTCGCGGTCATGTGTCGCTACAGCAGGACCCTTTTTGGAGCGGATTTAGCCGCGATTCAAGCTTGCTCAGTGCAAGCTTGAACGCGATATCGCGCGGCAAATCTCGCTATATTGCGCAATATGCAAATCGCGCGCCAAACGCGTGATTTGCATATCGCGCAGTGGGAACGGGGCCTTAAGCAGGGAATTCACACACTGGCCTTGCCTGGCACATGGCCTGAACTTAGCGGCCCAGCAATTCCTTTTTCAGTACCCTGGTTTTCACAATCTCCCAAGGCAGGCAAAAAGAGTTTATAGCTGCTTCAGGTGCTCATACCCAACCATTGTTCGCCTGGCTGAACAATACTCTATTTTTTGGCTTTTGTCTCAAAAAACGTACACTCTAATATTTATTTCAGGATAACCCCTGCTTGGTCTCTCCCTCTGAAATGTGCAGCCTATTGAAAAGCGTTTCATACTATGCATCCCCACTGAGCAGCAAAAAAAATGTTTTTTTTGCATTGGTATACGTCCCCCATAGTAGTGCCCACCGTTTGATAATCCCTTGCCTATTATCCTTGAAATGGTGAAATTTGATGTGCGGTATAAGTTCCCATAGATTAATGTTCTCAATACTTTGATTAGTAGTAGTGAACATTCTGTGAATGTAAACCAGGCGCATTTGGTTAATTGCTACTGCTATTGACTACAATGTTTTTTTTATGTAACTAGAAAATCAATGGTATGCCATGATAACTACCAGTGCATTGGATAATATAAGTAGCTCATGAAGCTGGCAGTAGCTACTTGGTAGCTAGCTATAAACCATCTAAAAAGTACAAATTACTTTGGATTTCTGTGACACAGACCTTTCATTGATCACAATTATTTTTTCCTAGCAACAAAATCATTAAGAAGAGTTATTCGGTAGCTGCTACAAAATGACTTGTGTGACATGGTCCTTAGGCTGGATTCACACATTTCTATTTTTCCTCAATGTGTTTCCCATTGGCATCAATAGAAATGCATTAAGACGAAAGTCAACGCACGTCAGTGTGTGCCTTAATGCATGAATTGAGATGCATTTTGATGCATTTCTATTTATTTAAATGAAGAATAAAACAGGGAAAAATATAGGTGAGAATTCAGCTTAGCTCTTAGACATACACATAAGGACAGAACTCTGTCTGCACTTTGAAAAGAAGGAAGCATAAACTCCTGTAGCCAATGTGTCAATGCTGTGACTAATAATAGGAATGATGCATATGATTATTTTAAATCGGGACACCTTAATAGAAAGAGCACATTCATCAAGAGAAGAACTTAATCCTAATAGAACATCTTGTTATTTAATTCTAAGAACTAGACAAACATAAATCGTGTTCCTATAGCTGTCAATGATTCAAGCATAGACAGTACATTTTAAAGTTGCTGAAGGCAACACCACCACTTTTTTTCTTGCAGTTTTTTACTGATCTGCATTCATGTTATTCATGAAAGAAAACAACACATGACACGAGGATGTAGTTAGAGTGCTTTTATTGATTCTTTTATTATCTATGACTTTTTTCTTTAAAAAGTGCCCCCCTCTTCTCCATTTGTTACATTACTAAATTAAAATGCCACTGCAGTCAGTTCCATGGTATTGCTAAACATTAATATCTCATCTTACTTGGATATCTCCTCCAATTTTATTGTCCTATTGCACTTCATTTTTGTATGCAAATGCAGTGAGAATTTCAACAATAAAATCAACAGAGGTATAGTCATCGTCCTAACAAAGAAGAAGTAAAACATACACTTATTATGATTTGAAGGATATCCTGGCAGTACAAATGGGTCTGAATCTACTAAACTCCATCTAAGATGCATTCATACTGGTGTTTGTCCTACATTACCTAGTGACAGTGTAGCCAATGAAGGACCTGAGCTGCCACGCCACAGTGCCATATTATTAATCGTGGGACTTCTGTGTTTAAGGAGGTTTTCAATTATCTCTTTTACATGGAGGAATAACTGGAATCTCCATATGGATAGGGACACATATTGAGGCTTTTCGTGTACGTGACAATAATGACATCAATATAGCAGTGTTATCACATCATCAGGTTTCTCCCGCAGTGTAATAATGTCACATATGGCCTTCACCACTGCTGTTAACTGGCCTCTGAGTACAATGTAGTCTAAAAGCTAAATAGATATTAGAGATTATAATAATCTAATTGACAATGTGAACATTCTGTGTAGTCTCCATAGAGATGATTGACAATTTAGTTTGAGTTTGGTTTACTTGCAGTGAGTTTCACTGTATGGCCATAGAGATTACTACAGCTCTGAGGGTTTATGCAGAGCAAATACCTTTACGAAAGCCCTAAATCGAGAGGTCAGCCAGTCCCACTAATTGGATGACATACAGTATGTGCACAATTTTGTAACCGTACAACAAGGTATAAAACAACTACACTTTCTAAACATTGGACAACAAAAATTATTTTGCTTGTTACATAAAAAACATTTATATTCAACTTCTGAAGGACACAATACAGTAAATATTTATTTCCTTCTGATTTGCACTTATAGTATTGGCTGTTGATAAGTATGCATGAGTATGTATCCCCTGCTACATAATCTACTCAGAGTTCTTCATCTAATGTAGCGTGTAAATAAAACTGAAAACTTCAGTTAATACAGCTAATGTAACTCTGATGCAATTACTGTATGATAATGTACATTTCTCAAAATATTTTGGGCAATAGAATTGATATATAGGAAATAAGATTGCACATCTGTGAGGGTCGGTGCAGACTCTGGCAGATTAAGTCTAATCTGTATCTTACCCTTTAATAATCAATCCTAGTATGTAGTGAAAACTATAATTGTTACCCACAGAAAAAACAGGATAGAAAATCTACATATCAACTGCCCAGAAAAGGAGAAATCTCAAGCTATATGGAAGTGTGGTTCAGATTTGGGGATATATAAGGGAGTATCTCACCAAAAATGTAATTCCTATTTCAAGGGATGCCTAAAATTGTACTTGTATCTTAGTGCAGACTTCTGGGAAAATAAGTCAGCCAATCACAAAAGCGGTACGTGACATTTCTTTACACCAACTGCATACAGAATGCCGCATAACTCCACATATTGCATTGAAGTATTTTGACAGGTTTAGAATATTACTAATTACTAATACTAATATTGGCTACAGTTTTATATGGAAAGGTAATTTTGAATAGCATTACATTACAAAATGAATTGGCTTGTGTAGCAATTATTTATGTTAAATTCTTTTTTAAGATTTTTTAAATGTTTTTTTAAAGTAGAGTCACTCTTTAAAGGAGAACTATGGGGTTAAGGCGTTTCCCCATAGTTCTCCTTAGGGTAACGGGAGGACACAAACTAGCGTCCTCCCGTCACCCTAAGCTCACCCTACAGTCTCATTGTCACAGGTCGGCTAGAACTATGAGGTGAGTGAAAAGCACTCACCTCATGGTTCTTCTTTAAGTACTTCACCGCTGAAAAACGTATTCCTAAAACAGATACAAACAACCTGGTGTCCTTCAGCTGTTGAAAAACCAGAACTCCAGGCATGCATTGCTAGCCAGAATCATTTTATATCTGTACAAAGCTCTTTGTAAAAGTATCTGGGTATTTGTCTTAATATTCATGGCACGTTATCGCTACTGCACACCATTCCTTTTTATGAAGTACAGGAGTATTTTCAAAATTCATCACATGTTTCCCTCAAATGAGATCCAGCTTACCCCGGGTGATAGCTTTTCCAATGGCTGTTTAGGGTTCATCACATCTCTATGCTCCACAGTACTTCTATACAGAATGTGATCTATATATATATATATATATTCCCAAATCTGAACCACATATATATATTAGGGATAAATTGTAGATTTTCATACTGCGATGTCAACTTTCAGTTGAAAATAAATTGTACATGGTGGTTTGGTATTAAACAATAAGGAGGAAGTATATACTGACAAACGGTAGGAATGCCAGTTGCTTCACTTGCCTTTATATGTATGTTATAGTGGAACAGCTTTTTTACAACTGCAGTGCTGCAGCATAAAGGTGAAAAAGACAGTAATTGACAGGAAAGGGACAGGGCTTTGTAGCACCATACCATATTTATTAAAGTTCAGGCTTATGGAGGCTTGAAACTCCACTATGGGAGTCTTTGCCATAGTGAAGCAGTGCAGATACAATGACAGATCTGTAATTTTGTAAACCTCTGTGTGTAGGAGGACATCCTCTGTAGTGAAAAAGCAACTTGTAGCAGCAGACACTTTTTATTTATCTACCCCATGTGACCACCAAAGATCTTACTTTCCTTTGTACAATACATGGATATGTACCCTCAATGCTTACATTGCACGTCTATATGTAAAGCAGGTATAATCAGTATAACTCCTACCTTTAGAAAACAACAGGCTGTTAGTGGAAATACCTTACCCAGTTCACTGTTTCCTGTCCTGAATACGCTGTCACTCTTTTAAAGGTAACTGATTTTGGTAGGATCTGACAATGATAACCTAATGCCTGAATACCTAATGTTAACACTTAATCTGGAGCCCAGTAGTGTTTTTACCCTGTTTCTATAATTTAAAATTAAACTTCTATACAATTTATTATTTCCAGATACTAAAGGGAATTGAAGTAGCAAAGTATTTTATACCAGATAACGTTTTTGGACTCTTATAGCTAATCTAACACCCAGAAAATGGGACAAAAAAGTAAACTGTGTATGATAATAATACCACTTTGTATGCAGTTGCAGAATCCCTGAACATTTTATTTGGCCTCCTTACAATAAAGAAAGCTATTAAATTAAAGAATGTAATATCAATAATACAGCACAGTCCTTTTTTGCTCCACACCCAGTTTGATCTACTGTGCTGATTTTCCATAAGTGCCACCACAAAAGGAGCTACAGCTTAGGAGGTTATGAAATCAATATTTCTATCATGGTGTGGTAGCTGCAGCCTGTCATTATCTTAGGAACTGTCTAAATCATTGGCTCTTGTTCAGTGGCATGGTAAGTATTTTGTGGCAGGAAAACCCTATAGTGGCAGCATGGGACCAAGTTCTCACTCTGCCTACTGGCACATCAGCTGTCCCCCTTCATTATGGCAATTGGAAAACAATGCAGGGATGTAGAATATGCATCCCTAACTTGTATTTCTTGTGTCTGCAGCAGAAGGAAAGGCAGCTATTGCTGGTGGGTGGGATTAGTGTCTATGGGTGGGGATTTTTAGGAAATAGAGGAAGGACTGAAATGCACTTTTATTTTACTTCCCTGCAGAATACCAACAGACTATCAAAAATGTTAATTCATTGGTGTGTCCCATTTTCTCTTCATAGAATGTTGATGGCATAGGTAGAGTTTGCTGTACCACTGAGCTAAACTAAAAAGACAAAAAGCAGGTCCACTTTAAGGCTTTTCTCCTCAAATGTTCCTTCTTTATGAATGTTCTGAAGCTTAATGGCAAATACCATGTTACAATTCAGACTTTTGATATGTCATGATCATTCTCACATTCCCCAACACAAACATAACCAACATATTAACAAGTAACATTAATAACCACAAAGTGTTAATCATACATCTACAGCACATTGACATTTCTTAAGTTAAACAAGACAGAACGTTCTTACAAATTAAAGTGAAGAGTGGGAAGGAGGATTGCAATGACAACCAATTGGAATGCTTCTCTTGGATGTTATTGAGGCACATTTAAAAAGCAAGTCTGTTTTGCCCTTGATGCTATATGTAAATTCCATTACATCCCATTGCGTGCATTGTGGCAAGACGCATAAGAGTTCATTACAAAACAAAAAGTACATGGAAAACCAAGACAGTTCAAGAAGTTCCTGAGCATTTTCATGGCAATATGAGCAAAACGTCCACAGATGTGTAGAGTTGGCACCTTGGGGACAATTGATGTGACGTTCTCCGTTCACAGCAATGCATTTCTTATTAAAACAAACTGAAAGATTATACACAGCATTAGTTACGCAGCTTGGCTTTAGTAGATAAAAAAACAACTTAAAAAAGGTGGAGGACATACATTTAAATTCACACTGTAGCCAGCTCTATATTTTTATAAAACAAGTTCCATCCCTTATTGGAATTTCTGAAGAAAGCTAGAGTGCATAACAGATAAAGAATATGAATGCTACCATAAAAGAATATAGAAAGAAACAGCAGAGAGCGAGAGAGTAGAAAGCTGGTCTTTGGATATAGAAAGTTAATTTCTGAAAATGTATATTTGAATAGCAGTAGAAAACATAGATCACTATGGGCTCAAGTTGGGCTTCAAATGTGCCTGTTATTGCTGCCCCACATGTGCACTGGGTGTTTAAATGGTATCACTTCTTACAAGAGTGCTGACAGACCAATGGAAATCTGTCTAGGAGTGCACCTGCTGTCCTTGGTATGCTTCGACTGACATTCATGACATACCATTTGCTTTTTATGCAAGCTAGCTTCTTCTCCTCACCAATGAGTTACTGACTTCTAGACCAGCTTACATTTTTTTTGAAGCTTTAATATACCCTTTCAGGAGTGTAAAGAGACTCTGACACTTTGCCCATTCAGGCAAATACAAAAAAAAAACCTGTGTCTAAGTTTTTTTCAAAATTATTTTTTTCTGTTTTATAAAACGATGCAGACATCAATACAGGCTGAGTTTTTTAAGTATTCAAATATGTAACAATTTGCAGTCAAGAGACTATGCAAAACATATATCCTATGTTTTTTTTGTGCAAAGATTAGTTCAAATACTAACCAGTGGCTAATATCAGGAAAGTCAGAAAACCTGACACTCCAGTGGATGCATTGTACATGTATTTGTTAAGAATCTAGGAAAACAGGCAACTTAAAGTGTATTTTCACTTTTGCAAGCAAATTTGAGAAGATCTAGGGATTTCTAGACAGCTGCAACATTAGACAGGTAGTCATAAAGAACATACTACAGCTTGTAAGCACATTTACTTTTAAATGGGAAAGCAAGAGGAATGACATGGGTCACTTAGTCAGGTATTCAATTCAATTGGAGTTTCATTATTCTACCAGATTGATCCACTTCAAAAGGGATGCCGAAATAACGGCTGTCCTAATTAGAACAATTAGATTTTTGCAGGTATTTACAATAAAAGCTGATCATCCAAATGAGAAAAGCTATGATAAAACAAACAGCATTTTTTTTCACAAAAGAGAAGTGTATGCTAAAATTTTCTAAAATCTTTGAAACATATGCAGTTCACCTCAAGGGAACTGTTTCTTATCATGAAAACTAAAAAGAAATGCAAACCTCTTTGATGCTTGCAATTTTACCATGCATTTTTAGGAGAAACAATAGGTACAAATAAAAAGACGCAGATGTATAGGCTACCAAAGGTGCTTTTACTAGGGATGGTTCACAAAAGGTCTTTACTCTACCTCAGAGAACATGTGTTCCCTTCACTTTTCAATAAGGTAAAGTACCATTTGAGTATTTTTCATGTGTTCCTTTTAGATGTTCAAAGGCTGTTTAGCTTAAATAAAAACTCAGAAAACTTAGGGAATATTTAAAGTCTTAAAAATAATTGCAGCAGTGTTCCACA